ACAATGATTGATGAGCTTTACGTATACACCCTGTATTCCTGTGCAAATTGAACCCAATAAAAGCTTGTCAAGGCAAGGGTCCAGGTGCTCTCCCCTTGAGAGAGTAGCCGAGGTGCTCTGAGGTGGATTCCCCCTGAAGAGAAAAGCCGTGCTGTCCCTTTTCCTCCACTGGACTCGGTAGTCCGTGTGAATTTGTCGTGTCTCATCCACAGTGCAGCAGACACTGCTTGCCGGTAACCGTGTCAGTAAGTACAAACTGTCGGTTCCTGCAAGAAGTGGAAACTGCTAGAGAACCCTGAAAACAGACTGCAATAGCAATTAAAATAGATCAGCAAATCCCAGGAGTTTGGGAAGGAGGATAGGGAAATGAAAGTGTTTTAAAGGCTTTATCCAGTGAAGGAATAGAATTCCTGGGAAACATAGTATCTTATTTCCATATAATCCTTACTTTCACAGGAATTTCATATTGAGTTTATGAAAATGATAATCACCAGTTGAATAAAAAGTACAATAGAATTTTGTAATTGGAAAGATGGGAAAGATTAGTAATAGTAATAATCAAACAGGAAAACTAGTAAGGGAAATATTTAAAGGTAAATAAGGGGAATATTTTAAAAATGCAAAGTAGGGTGAAAGGAATAAAACATATAAATGATTAAATTGTCCAATATATATGAAACAGATTCTCAGGTTGGGTTAAAAAACACCAAAACTTATCAATACATTTCTTTAACAAACACATTTAAACAAAGTAGCAAAGAAAAGTTTAAAATGGTAAAACATAAGCAACTGCATTCAAAAAGGAAGAAAGGCAAAATTAATATCAGACAGAATGAAAAGGTTATAACTACTAAACAAGATAAAGATTATTCAGTGATAAAGACACAGTTTATAAAGATAATATAACAATTATAAGCCAGCTTTAAAGTATTATTTCTCAGTTTCAAATTTACCTTTCTATATTTTGCTTTGTGATTCTAGAACTAGAATTCTGATAATTGCTTTTTTGATTTGTCAGCTTGCTTCCTGTTAATCTCTGGCAATAGGAAGCAATGAAGTATAATCATAAAACAAAATGGAGCAAAAAGAAAGTATTCGTTTTCTTACCATTTGCTTGTTCCTATTAGCATCACCCCAGTACTGCCTCAGTCTGACGTGACTTTTCCTTAGGATAGCAGTACTTGCCTCTAGTCTGCAGTTTTTCAAACACCACGCTGTGTCCCCTCCTGGAAACACACCAGTGGTCACTCCAGATTACCTTAGCACTTAGTGCCAACCCGATAAGTCCCCTCATCTGAACTCAGAATAACCACCACCAGCCAAACAGCATATCTTCTTTGTTCTCCCAGCTCCAGATGTAGTTGTTTCCAGCAGGCTTTAGCTCTGTGATAATCAAGAGTTCTTATTATACCTTTTGGTTCTTTAATATCTAACAAACTTTTTACATTAAATTATATCACTTAAATTATAATGGGATTCTGAGAAGGTAGTGGTTGAAATGATGGCATATGTTTGAGATCTTTTGAATTCTCACATGAAAACAGACATTACCACTAGACTGCAAAGTAAAAAACAAACTATTTACAAACAACCAGGGAAACAGGGTAACCTTATAAACCTCAAAATACAAGTAGGTGAGGATAAGCCATCAGTTGTCATAAGCACTGTATCTTATCAGCATCTATCAGAAAAAAGTGGAGTAAAGTAATGGGACATCTGATGGACCTGAGAACAGAAGTAACCCACATAAACTAAAAGTTAATCACTGGAAATCATGGCAATTTGATTGTTGAACAGCAGCTAAAACTATGAGACATTTAATATATTCTAATAATTAGAGGTAAGTTTTAAAGATCTTGCTAGTTCCCGTAAATGCTCATAACTGACCCAGTAGGATCAAGTGCAAATCCTCATACTGAAGTGAAACTTCTGGATGAAAACAACATTGTTCAGCATAGGAACAGCACAGTTAATGAAATGAAGGTTCAGATAAAATGGAGAAGGAAACAGAGCTAGGAACTGTACCAAAAAAGCCATCCTAGTTTTACTAGTACATATATGAAAACAACAAAAAAGGAGCTTATAAGAAGAAAAGCTATCTAAAACAAATCTTTTAAGAAGTCACAAAAATTAAATTTACATAAAAGTAAGCACTAGAAAACTATGGAAGTCAAATACCACACAAGTTAACTATAAGAAAAGATGTCAATAAGAAACAGAATAACCCTGCAGGCAAAGAACTCACACTAGAAAGACATAAGCAGCATATATGTAAATTGGAAATGCCATTTCAGAGTGAGCTGAAAGACATTAAGAAAAGAAACAAGATATGAAGAAACAAAAATCAGAATGGAAAAACTCAGAAATAGCTGATATAACTAAAAAAACATATTTCAGAATTACTAAACTAGGAGAAAAAGCACATAACACACACACCAAATTCAACAACTAATGCCTTGTAAGAAATAGTAAATTTTTAAAAAAGGAATTAAAAAATAAGGGATAAAAAAGATTTGAGAGAAAATAACAAATAATGATAATATAAAAAATAGATTCAACATACAGATATGGAGTCCTAAAAACAAATCTTTGTAATAGAACAAATATTAAAAACTTCCTGAAACTATTATTGTAAAATATACATTAAAAGAGCACACTGTTCTTTGAAAATATCAACCCCAAACAATGAAGACCAAAACATATTCTAGTAAAATTACTGCACTTTATAGAAAAAAAATAACAGGAATCTAGGAAAAAGAGCATATATTTTATTATGGCATCACAATTTATCATCAAATGTTTTAACAGCAATGCTTTTATTCAAGAAGAAATGGAATCACATAGTTAAGATACTGAAATGGGATAAAGCAAATGATATATTCTAAAGCTATCATTTTGTGTGACCCAGAGAACAAGAATTCTCAGTGTGGAAGAAAGGAGATACAGATGTAAAATTTAAAAAAAAAAAGGTTAAGGAAAAACCCCAATAGTGCTGAATTTGTCAAATCCTAGGAAAAAAAAAATCACCAACCAGTAGCAAATAGTAACCCTAGCTTGTAGACTATTATTTTGATGACATACCATTTTCTTGTAAAGAAAGTCATGAGTTCTTGATGAAATGACTGATTCCAGATCCACAACACAAAACGTGCTAGAATATCTTGAAATATTATATAGCAGAGGATCAACCAATATTACAAAGGTCACATCAAAAAGATTCAGAAGTAATATTGAGGCCTTCACTAGTCATAGATTATATAAAAATTATATGAATTGAAACCACTCAGGTATGTTAAAGTTTGTGATTTCATAATAATATTAAGTAATATTTTAAAAAACTTCATTGGGAACTGTGATAGGCCTCCAAAGATATCCAGTTCTTAACCTAGTCAAATAGAACCTCTAGAACTGTAAGAGAGTAAATGTATAAGGTCTACCAGAAAAAGTCCAGCCCTTGTTAATATAATGAGAATAGTTTGGGTGGTATCAATGTAACCTGGCAGCTAAGGACAGTGGACTGGAATGCACATGCATGAGCAATGACAACCTCACTGTACTAGTCAGTGGGGGCACTAGATGCCATTGAGTGAGCATGTGTACTGTGTGGCCATTGCATTCAAAATGACTGAGCGAGTAGAGCAACGAATCTGCATCAAATTTTGAGTTAAACTTGTATGTTTCTCTGCAGAAACTATTTGGAGGATACAAGGAGGTTTTCAGGGACAAAGCAATGAGGGCAGCACAAGTAAAAGTGTGGCACAAACACTTCAAAGATGGTTGAGAATCTGTTGAAAGTGACCCATGTTCTGGAAGGCCTGCAACAAGCAGAACACCTGAGAGTGTTGAACGTGTAAGGGCTGTAATCAACAAAGATTGGTGACTGACAGTGTGAGAACTAGCATCTGATCTAGGGATTCCAGAAACTACTGTGTCTGAGATTTTGATGCAGGGTCTTGGCATGAAATGTGTCAGGGCATAGTTCACTACCAGAGCAGAAGGAACATTGTGCTGCAGTTGGGAGAACTGTGTGAGGTCCTAAGGTGTCTACTTTGAAGGGAACTGAGGCATCATTGCCCTATGTACAATATTTCTTGTATCTTGTTCAATAAATGTCTCTATTTTTCATAGTGAATGGCTGGATACTTTCTGGACAGGCTTTGTATGTTATTTTAAGATACCAAGTTTGTGGTATTTTGTTACAGAGGCCATAGGAAACTAATACAGTCATAAATAATTGTGTTATAAATACAAGCAAAGAAGCATTCATTTCATCTTTCTTAAGTGCACCATACCAGTTAGTAATTATTAAATTATGGAGTGTCTTCTTACAGACTTGTTCCATCTAATATATAACATTAAGATACCACTATTTTGCAAACACCAGTGAATTAATTAATGTAGGCATTGAGCACAAATGTCTATTAATATCAAAATCAAGTGAAAATAAATTATATCTGCCTTCAGATAAAAGATTATAATCTGAACAAAAGGATAAAAATGTACTTTTATCAAGCTTCTGGGTCCTGAAGAAAGTCTGCAGGACAAAAAAGAAAAAGAAAAAGAACATGTTGAATTACACCATGAGTACATGGATCAGCAAAATCCAAACACTGAAAAACCAGACATGCAAAGAGTTCTTCAACAGATAAACAGTAAAGAAAAGAAAGGAATGGAGGAAACACTTGTATGTAGAAAGGCTTAAAAGACAACTCAGCTTAACAAAAATGGGTAAGACTACGCTATAGTGTCTAGGGGTTTCTAGTGTCTTAGGTGATTTAAAAAATCCGAGGAAATCAGTATTATAAAAGTTGAGATCATGAATATGGGTGGGAGAGAGCTGTATATAGGTAAACACAGAGAGGCTTCTAGGATGGCTAACCAGTTTCCATTTCTTGGCTAGGTTGATGGTTATAAGGGTATTGTCTCAGACCATCTGAGCTGCTGTAACAAAATACTACACTTTGGTAGCTTATAAACTACAGAAATTTATTTTTTTACAGCTCTGGAGGATGGAAATCCAAGATCACAGCACCGGCACGGTTGCACGAGGGCCTCCATTCAAGGGTGTCACAGACTTTTGTGTGCACTGTAGGCAGAGGAACTAGGGAGCTCGCTGGAGCCCCCTTCATAAGGTATTAATCCATCTCATGAGGATTCCACCCTCATTACTTAAACACCTGCCAAAGATCCCACTTACTAATACCATCAGCTTTGGGGGTTAGGATTTCAACATAAGTTTTAGGGGCACACAAACTCTCAGACTGTAGCAGGTATTTAACTAAGCTTCCATTTCTTTTGCATTGTTTTTCTTTCATTTTATTTTCCAATAAGAGACAAAAAAGAAATAAAGTAACAACTACTCGACGAACAAGCCATCCCACCATAAACAACTTAAAAAAATGGACATAATATGGGAAACAACTGTTTACAGACTTTGGAAAAATTTTAAATGAGCCAAAGACAAAAAAAAAAAGGCATTTTACATGCAGCAGTTTATTGATAGGATAAGAATTAATATTGACTTTTTATTAGAAATAATATAAGCTGGAGGGCAGTGGAAAAACCTCAAAGTTCTGAAAGCAAAAAAACTGTAATCAAATTCTATATCTAGTTAAAATATCCTTCAAAGTGAAGGCAAAATAAAGACATTTTTAGACAAACAAAGCTAAGAAAACACAGCAGTAATAGTTCAGTACTACAAGAAATGATGAAGTTATTTTAGGCTGAATAAAAATAAACAAGATGAAAATTTAGATCTACACAAATGTTTTAACAATCCAATTGAAAGTCAGGTTTTCAGACTAGATGAAAAAGCAAGGGCGAACTTTATGGTGTCCATAATAATCACTTTAAATATTAAGGAAATGATAGGTCTTTAGTCATTTAAAAAAAAGCTTAAGTGGCTATATTTATATTAGACAAAATATACTTCAGGTGAGACAACATTACCAAAGTTAAGAATGTCATCTCACAGTAATTAAAGGATCAATTTCTCAAGAGGACAAAATAATCCTAAATAGGTATACACCTAACAACAGAGCTTGAAAAGGCATGAAGCAAAAACTAAGAGAACCAAAAGAAAAATAATTCATATTTATATTTTAAGATTTCTACTCAATTCAGTAATTGATAAAATAAGTTAACAGAAAACTCACTGTTTATAGAAGACATGAACATCACCCTGCCTAACTTAATTAAAATAGAAAGAACATGAAAAAGTATACATGTTCTTTTTCAGTGAACAAATATTCATAAAATACATGATATATTAAGCCATAAATTAAGTCCTAAAAATGTAATCAGAGTCGTATAGCATGTATTTTCTGAACCAAATAAAATTTTAAAACAATATCAAAATTTATCTGAAAATAAATACCTAAATGAGAATTATACAACACAGTTCTAAATAACCTATGGTTCAATGAATAAATAGCATGTTAAATTAGAAAAAATGTTGAGCTGAATGAAATGAAATTATTGTGGAATTACAATGAAAAGAACATTAAAATGTATAGAGTGCAGTTAAAGTGATTTTTAGAGGGAAATCGATAGCTTTAAATGCTAATATTAGAAATGTTTAAAAATCAATTATTAAGTTCATATTTTAAAAAGGAAAAAAATTAAACCCAGAATAATAAGTAGAGGGAATGAAATAAGGAACAGATTAATAAATTAAATAAAAGATGATAGAGAAAAGTCAATTGAACAAAGAGCTAAATCTCTGAAAAGATTAATAAAATTGGTAAACCTCTTGACAGACTTATCAGAAAAGAATGAAGGCAGACAAAAATTACCAAAGACAGCAATGAAAGGAACTCACTCTATGAAGACTATATACATTAAAAGAATAATAAGGACATATTTTGCCTGCCAAAAGACAATTTAGATAAGATTGGAAATTTCTGAAAAGCCAAATTAACAAAACTGGCACAGAATGAAAAATAAGCATGTGACTAAATCTCCTATTTAAAAAAAGAAATTATTTAAAAATCTTCCCGTAAGAAAATAACAGTCTCTCATGGTTGGACTAATAGATTCGAGCAAATATTAAAAGAAAAGCAACACGAACCTTACACCTATTCCTTCACAAAATAGTAGTAATGAAAATTTCCATCTCGTTTTATAAGGCTAACATCATCCTAACATCCCCAAACCAGATAGACATGACCAGTAGACAAAACTCCAGATGAATAGCCCTCATTATTGTAGATGCAAACATTCTTACCAAATTAATGTAAATCAAATCCAGCATTACATAAAATTAATACATTATTACCAACTGCATTCATTCCAGAAATTCAAGATTGACTTAACTTTTTAAAAATACTGATATTTAACTTGACATGGATTACAGCTCTAAACATAAAAATTAAAACATCATAAAGCTTTTAGGAGAATATCTTCATTTAACTGGGGTAGACAAAGATTTCTGAGATAAAACACCAAAAACTTCTATCATAAAAAAGAGATTTGTCCAAATTAAAAACTTCTGTTCTACCTTTTTAAGCCTCTGTTGTAAATTTTATAGTTTAGTAAGTTATTTAATAAAGTACGTATAATGTATTTTACGAGGGAAGAAATTAAAGCGGCTGGGGGCTGTTACAATGAACGAGCCACGTGACTACGCAAACTAAAGGAGGCGCCGCCGCGGCCGGAAAACCGCTGGGAGTGGAAACTTCCGTTCGGCGAAAGCTGGGCAGATCCAAGATGGCGGCCAGCAGGCGGCTGATGAAGGAGTTGGAAGAAATCCGCAGAAGTGGGATTAAAAACTTCCAAAACATCCAGGTTGATGATGCTAATTTATTGACTTGGCAAGGGCTTATTGTCCCTGACAACCCTCCATATGATAAGGGGGCCTTCAAAATTGAAATCAACTTTCCAGCCGAGTATCCATTCAAACCGCCGAAGATCATATTTAAAACGAAGATTTATCACCCCAACATCGATGAAAAAGGGCAGGTCTGTCTGCCAGTAATTAGTGCTGAAAACTGGAAGCCAGCAACCAAAACCGACCAAGTGATCCAGGACCTCATAGCACTGGTGAACGACCCTCAGCCCGAGCACCCACTCCGGGCAGACCTAGCTGAAGAATACTCCAAAGATCACAAGAAATTCTGTAAGAATGCTAAAGCATTTACAAAGAAATACGGGGAAAAGCGGCCTGTGGACTAAAATCTGCCGTGATTGATTCCAGCGAGAGGGAGCTGAGACCCCAGCAATGCACTGACACCTGCAAAGCAGGACTCGGGAAAACTGACACGTGCCACCGTTAGTGGCAGTTACTAACTTTCTACAGTTTTCTTAATTAAAACTGCTGTACGTAACCTGTAAAGAAAGGATTAAAAATGTAAGATGTTCTAAACAACAAATAAAAAAAAAACCCCTCTGTTTGGCAGGATAGATCGCATTTCATCCCAAAATAGACTGTAAAAAAAAAGCTACGTATTTTAAGACTCGTTTGAAATCTACAAATGTTCTTTGGTAAACATTTATTTTACGATTCTGACTTTCCTATTCCTTCTTTTTCAATTTCTTCTTAATTATCAGCTGTTGGTTTACAATGCTCACCCACTTATCCTTCCTTCCTTGTTTTTCCTTGTTGGAAGCTAGAGAGGTGCAGAAAGTTTCCAAAGTAATAACTGTCTTTCTCCTTTTCCTCTCTGCTTCCCCACTCAATTTGTTATCCATTTTATAGGTGCAAACCTGTATTAAGATGTGTTATAACACAGTCACAGTCTTGGTTCCTTTTGGAGTGGTTTCAATAAATGAATTGTCATAATTTAGGTTTTGCAATAGTATCTTCATTTCTAATTTAAGTTGTGTAAGTTTAAAGTTTATAGCACATTGCTTTGACTCACATATTTGTGAAATGATGACCACAATTGACTTAGTTAACAACCAACATCTCATATACATACTAAAGAAACAAAAAGCAAAAACAGGATCTTTTCTTCCCTTGTGGTGAGAGCTCTTAGGATTTACTCCTATCAACCATATAGAATTATGTTAACTATAGTCATCATGTTCTACATAATGTCCCTTGTACTTATTTATCTTATAACTGGAAGTTTACCTTTTGACTATCTTCACCCAATTTCCCCTTCACCACAACCACCCCAGGTAACCACAAATTTGATCTCTTTTTCTACAAGTTTGTTTATTTGTTTTAACATTATATAAATGATATCATACAATATTTATCTTTCTCTGACTTATTTCACTTAGCAAAATAATTAATGCCCTCAAGTTGCATCCATGTTGTCGCAGATAGCAGGATTTTCTTCTTTTCAGGGCTAAATAATATTCCATTCTTTACTCGTTTCATCATTGGACACTTAGGTTGTTTCCATAGCGTGGCTATTGTAAATAATGCTGCTATGAACATGAAGGTGCATCTATTTCTTTGAAAGTGTTTTGTTTCCTTCAGATATACTCAGCAGTAGAATTACCAGATCATATGGTAGTTCTATTTTTAATTTTTTGAGGAACCTCCATACTGTTTTCCATAGCAGCTGTACTGATTTACAATCCCACCAAGAGTGCACAAAGGTTCCCTTTTCTCCACATCCTCACCAGCATTTGTTATCTCTTGTCTTTTTCTAATGATAGCCATTCTAATAGTCACGAGGTGATATGTCTTTGTGGTTTTGATTTCCATTTCCCTGATGACTAATGATGTTGAGCACCCTTTCTTTAATGTACTGTTGGTCATTTTTATGTCTTCTTTGGAAAAATGTCTAGTTAGGTTCTTTGCCTATTTTTTAATTGAATTGTTCATTTTGTGCTATTGGGTTTTGTTACTTCTTTAAACATTTTGGATTTGGGCCCTTTATCAGATACATTGGTTTGCAAATATTTTCCACTTTCATTCCATATGTTGTTTTGTCACTCTGTTGATGGTTTCTTTTGCTGTGCAGAAGCTTTTTAGTTTAAGGTAGCCCCACTTGTTTATATTTTATTTTGTTGCTTGCACTTAAATGTTAAGTTAAATGCTTGCACTTAGATGTTAAATATTTGTTGACTATGTGTAAATAGGTTTACTTCTAGGTTCTCAATTCTTTTCCATTGGTCAATATGGAAAAGAATTCCATATTGTTTTCATGCAATTGTCACACTGTTTTAATAACCATAGCTTTATAATATAGCTGGAAATCAGGAAATATGATGCCTCTTACTTTCTTCTTTCATAGGGTAACTTCTGCTTTTAAAACCTACCACTAAAAAAAATTAAAAGGGTGTCCTGGCTGGTGTAGCTCAGTGGATTGAGCACAGGCTGCAAACCAAAGGGTTGCTGGTTTGGTTCCCAGTCAGGGCACATGCATGAGTTGGGGTCCAGGTCCCCATGGGGACCACGTGAGAGGCAACCACACAGTGATGTTTCTCTCCCTCTCTTTCTCCCTCCCTTCCCCTCTCTCTAAAACTAAATAAATAAAATCTTTTTAAAAAATTAAAAGGCAAGCCATAGATTGGGAGAAAATGTCATATCTATCAAATTATATAAATAAATATATTTATTTATGCACTTAATATACATATTATATATTTTATTATGACCATAGTTATAACCATATTATGTTTTATATAAAATTATATGTATATAAATACTATATAAACACATAAGTAGTCAATAAGTACATGAAAAATGCTCACCATTGTCATCAGAAAAATGCAAACTGAAATGCAAATGAGTTACTACTCCATACCGTTTCATATGGGTAAAATGAAAATAACTAAAAATATCAAGTTTTAGAAAGGATGTAAAGCAACAAAAACTCACAAATTTCTGGTGAAATTGTGAAATAGTACAAAACTTTGGAAAGTATTTAATATTTTTGCAACATCTTGTTTTAGAACACATTTACACAAATAAGTAGATGTCAAGAAATAGGCTAAAAATTTACATTACTCCAAAAATGAAGAGAAAATTATACACAAATTCCTCTTAGTTACAATCAATACTAGAAGACAATGAAACATATTTATAGTTCCAAAGGAAAAGAGAAAACCTGTGAAGAATTTGATACAAGACCAAATTATTCCACAGGTTTAAAGCCAACAGACATTTCAAACCTACAAAAATCAGAGGACAAATTATATTCATTTAAAAAAAATGAAAGTATTAGAAAGAAAATAAACTTAAAACTAAACCAAAGTAAAAACAAAACCTTGTAGCAAATGTTAAAAAAAAATTTTTAGAAGCAAAATAATTTGACAGAACTAAGACTAAACACATCAGATTAATAAATTTAAATAAACTCACCTAGTAAAAGAGAAAAGTCTTAGATTGGATCACAAAGCCAAATACAAGTATAAAGTGTAGATTGAAAAGATTTATCTAAAACCAATCTAATCCAGAAAGATTGAAAATTCATAGTTGGGCACAGACATTTCTGCAAATGCCAACATAATGAAAATAGGGAATTTTATACATGTTTATATGTATCAATTTCTTTGCAGAAATTGCTAGATGCTTTTTAATCTCATAGCCTCTTCCACATTGTGAGACCACCTTTCCCAGCCCAAAGTGTGATATAAATATGGCCTTGTGACTGGATTTTGGCCACAGTAAGGTGGTAGGTAGGATGCATCTACTTCTAAGCCTGACAACAAAATGCTTTGTGCAGTTATCTTACTTTTTCTCTTGACCAACTAAAAGCAAAATATCTGGCATAAAATTCTGAGGAGGGGATAAAAGATGACTTGCACTAATTTGTTCTTTTCTAAATATGAATATAACATAATTAATAATTTACACTTATTCCTCTGAAGACTATGGCCCTCCACACCTGAAGGAAGTGTCTCAGGGGTGATTGCCTCATTCTGTGGCCTTGATCTCGTCTAATCCCAGCTATCTGATATCCTTAAACTTCAGAGGAAACGTAATGTTAAAACATTGCTGGGTAGTGCAATATAAAACCATTTCTTTTGTCTACTGTTCATCACGTAGAAGTTCTGAATCATCAAAGCCCTCTCCAACTCTTAATATTCTCAGGTCGGCTCAACCATTTGATAAGAATTACCTCATTTCCATCATGTTTATTTGGTGTGTCCTGACTTCACATAGGGTTATGGTTTTTAGTTCTTTTGGCAGCTAATCTCTGCATCTTCATGATCTTTTAATTATAAACCAGTTGCTAACTACTGGTTACCAGTTTTGTTTTTAAATATACCTTTCTTGTTACTATCTCCTGGTACCACTTTTTAAATCTCTCCTTTAAACCAGGTGACATCCCATGATTTTCTTTCTCATGAAGTGGATTTTTCTGGTTTTCTTTTTAACATCTAAAGAATTTCTGACTAGGACATTTATAGATTTTTGTTTGTTTTTTGCAGATTATCTGGTCATTGTAGCTAGTAATAAAGAACTAGATTATGTCAATGTATTAGAATGTATTTTGAGCAGTAAAAAAAAAACCCCACTACATTTAGATTTCAAAGTGCTATTGAACTGCTCTAAAAATCTCAGCCTTAACTAAATCACTGTTGACAAAATGATGAATGTTACACACCTTTAACAGTTTCCTTATGGGATTATTAAAATCCCCCTTTCTTCTCCCAGATCTGTCCGGACTGTCTGTACATCCATGACCCAAATTAAATACCGTGTTGGGAGTATGGGCAACATAATGACCTCCCTTGTCTTTTTAGACCCTTGGCTTGGGTAAAATTTAAACGGACATCATTGGATGCCAAACCATTTTCTATGACATTTATAAAACTGTCACATATTCCCCAAGTCTACTACCAATGTTATTCCATATCTAAACTCACCCTATTGTTTTCTTAAAAGTGAAAAATAAAAAGTGGATCATTCTGGAGAATGTAAACATGTGTTTCACTTCAACACCGTACTATCTGATTCAATTTACCTTCTAGTGCCTTTCTTAACTGTTCCTGAAAGACAGGAGGTAGCCCATAGCCAATATTTCCCAGAAAACATTATTGTACATCTTCATAACCAAGTTTTGTGCCTTGCTAAATCTAAAGGATTTATTAAAATATTCACTGAATTCCTTTTCTGAGGCGTTCATAATAAAGTACCACACACTAGGCATCTTATAAAAAAACCCTGTAAAATCTATTGTCTCACAGTTCTGGAGGCTAGAAGTTCGAATTAAGGTGTCTTCTGGGTTGTGCTGTCTCGAAAGCCTGTAGGGGAATCAACCCATGAC